AACCATCTCCAATGACACTGTCTGTTACATCAGTTATTAGGGTCGGAGGCAGATGACGAGGCAAAGTGTATACCGGATAATCCCTATCGTAGAAGCTGTTACCAAAAGATGAAGTTTCTGTTAGTCACTGACTTTATTCTATCAGCTTCCAGGTACTTAAATTTTACTGACTTGTATCTCATGTTCTTGGTGATTTCCATATTTGCTTTGTAGAATGCCTCAATGCTTCTCATGTCGTCCCAATGTCCATCGAATAGGTAGGCACGAACCTGAATCTTGCACAAATTGAAATTTTCTCAGAAATTGAGAGCAGAAACCAGAAAGAGTTGCCTATATGAATTTTAGATTTTTTTTTTTATTTAAAAAAAAAAAAAAAAAAAAAAAAAAAAAAAAATCTGACCTTCATTCCCAAGGACAATGCACCTGGTATTACTTCACTTCTCAAGTCATTTGCTTTGGGAAAATATTCTCTAAGAAGCTTTATCATGGCCTCTCTGTTCATGACATAGATCCCCATACTAGGAAAATCATTATCAGCAACACCATTGGATTTTCTACAGCATTGTACCTGAATTTACAGATTAAAGCTTCTTTAGAAATTAATTTAAAACTTATTGCTTGTCCGGTTCTTCTTATGTGACTAAACATGTAGAAGTGGAAATATAGCTTAAACAAGAAGCTGCTGATACAAAACTTACTGGCATAGCCTTCACTGCCTCCTTTTTTGCACTCTCTCTGAATTCAATAACTTGATTCTCAAAATTTATTTTGAAAACACCAAAAGTCGGATCCTGATCTCTCATTCTACTCAACACCGCAACAGTTACATCGGCCTTGTTGTTCCGGTGGGCCTCTACAAGTTTTTGGTAGTCCATTCTGTATAGATGGTTGCCTGGAAGAACCAGAAACTCGAGTACTGGATACTCTTCTAGAACCCACAAACATCTTCCTACAGCATCAGCAGTTCCCTTACAAATTTAGAAGAACATAGAGAGGTAAGGCCAAAAATCATAAAATGCACTCCTGAAGAACTACAACTAAAGCAGAAATAACTGACAAATTCGTGCGCTTGCGCGCGCGCGCACACATAAATTAGGAAAAACTTATATTGTTTGACCTGAAACCAGTCTTTGTCTTCAGGACTCTGATATGCTGCAAGTACTTCAACAAACCCCTCTTTCCCAAGGCCTGCACCAGAATAAGCTCTGGAAAGGTGGGCATTGAGAGAATTGGAGTTAACTTGTGTGAGAGCATATATCTTGGTTATGTTACTGCTAATGCAGTTGCTCTCAACTGCATCAATGAGTCTGCAATTTGCAGCTATAGTTAACTTCTGACCTCCTCTTCGTCAATGGATAGAGCCGCGACCCTGATCCATCTCCGAACACTATTGCAGCAACACTCTGACATGAATAAATTCTTAAATAAAGTTCAGAAATATCAAACACCTGATCATTGAAAAAAACAAGTTCAAGAAATATGTAGAACCAATGCCTAGCAAACTTATACAAGCAATGGATTCTTGTATTTGCGCATTTATGTACTAATAAAAGAAATCAAGGAATGTAGAACCATTGCCCAGCAAAAGAAATAAAACAGTATACAAACTTATGCACTCAAGTGTCATTCTTCCAAGCAATGTCCTCACGAACTTATATGATTATGCATAGAAAAAACAAAAACAGAAACAGAAGAAAAGAAAACACCCCATTATGAAAAAATGATGGAAAGGAAAAGAGCAGGACCTGATTCACTAGGGGGGACAGCGAATTGGGACATTTGGGTTGCTGTGAATTGGTTATGAACAAGCTTGAAGGAACAGTCTTCAATGTAGGTCTCTGACAATTAGGAAACACTCCAGGAATGTGGAGCTTTGCTGTGAGATTCACAGAAGTGGGAAGAGAAAGCTGCAATGTCACCATGACAAGAGAGAAAAAAAGATAATAATAATAATAATAATAATAATAATAATATAGTTTCTCTTTGTTATATCGTTAGATCTTCTAATGTCATTTGATTCAATTCACCTCATGTTTTGTGGTGTAGGTAGGTATTTAAGAGAGATTAAGAAGAGAACATTTAGCTTTCTTCTTCCTCATGGATACTACAGAGGGGACCTTTCTTCCATGGTTATGGTGTGTAGAAATTATCCTATTTACTAATTGCTATGCTACACTCATCAATCATGCTTTGCATATAATACATAGATTTATAGTGTAAAGGTGAGCTAATACATACACATATGTGTGTGTGTGCATAATATTGTGTCTAGATGTCGTCTTTTCTGTTACTATGTTTAGCTTTGATTCTAAGTTTCTTCTGGCCTTTTTCTTTTGTTTCAGATGCATATTTTGTTCTCTTCCATTTTATTTTATTTTTTTATTATTATTATTTTTTTTTTGTACTTGTCAAAAAAAAAAAATTCAATATATGTCACTGAACTTTTTGGGCAGAATCCTCTCCAGTGTCTTTTTCCCGCAATTTTGTGTGCTGCTGTTTCACCACATTTACTTTGAAATTTCACCACAATAACTGTCAATCATTTTTGAAATTTTAAATGATGAATTTGACCATTTTTATATGTGTGCAAAAAAAGTTACTTTGATTCTTGAAACATAATAATAATCATTAATTAATCATTTTTTCAGATTGGAGAATGAGAGTTTCCTCATTTTGTCTTCTTTCTTATAATTTTCAGAGAAGATAGATTCCCTGAAGGAACAGGGGCAATTTGGTCTCCAAACTTATAGAAATGAATCTCAACGGCGTTGATCATGGGCTGGCATTGGAGAATGAAGTACTTTGGAAGGTAGGCATTGTCTCAGCCTTTTAAGCTTGGAGCTGCTATTCTCTCCTTGTATACCTTTTTAATAATAAAGCACAACTTAAGGAATAATACTATTTTGCCAAGGACAATACTTAGTGATTACTCAAATGCAAATTATTTCTCTGTATGAATAAAAGATTTTGAAAACATATAGATTTTGGCCAAGACACGGATGTTTTTTGAATTGAGTTGTGAAAAAGTCTATTTATAAAAAGAGAACATACGTGTAGTTTTAATTCTGATATGATCTTCCAATAGTGGGCATTCATTTTTAGGGCTTTACAGGAAAAGGCTGTTGATCAAATCCTATTGGGCACTTTGTAGTCATCTAATTATTTTATTGCTGAACCTAACCCTTGTAGAATGGTTATGCTTCGCCGGACCTCTGCTGCGGGTAGCCCGATGCACAAGGTTCGCTCACAACAGCTTGAAAAATGAGAGGGAATGGAAGAAAATGACAGCTCCTCTTTCTGTGCGGAGCTCTTTGTGGAGTGTCGTCTTATCTGGTCCGGAGGGCCCATCATGGCCAGTTTCCCTCTGAGAAAAGATTTGCACACAAGCTGGATGAGCAATCAAGTCGATTTCATTTCTGTATGGCAATTTTCAAAGAACTTAATAGAAGTAGAAGAGCCCATTTTTCACCCTACGTTGAGCTTGAGTCTCAATGAGCTAACCAATTCTCTTCGAAAAGTCCTACAAATGAAGACTTGGGCCTGTCAAGCCTGCTTTCCTCGGAAATGCTTTTAGATATGGGAGCTCAAACCGTTCAGGATACTTCCCGCCGGGTACCGTAAGGTCTTATTGCTGAACCTAACCCTTGTAGAATGGTTATGCTTTGCCGGACTTGGCTCCTCTGCCACGGGTAGCCTGATACACAAGGTTCCGGTTACTATAAGGTCTAGAGAGAATGTGATGTATGCGAGAAAATCTACAGTATCCCGGATTCTCTCAGTCATTGGATCAATCATCAGGTGGGTTCCACCATCACATCTAACGGCTGAAAACCTCAGAATTCAACCGTTGGATCAACCAGTGGGTGGGTCCCACCACCACATCCAACGGCTGAAAACCTCAAGGGCACGATAGCCCTGAGATATTGCAAACTTTCACGATGCATGCATCTCTGCCTCTGCATGTGAAATTTCCATTTCAATCCCATGACCCCTAGATCACGAGAAGATATTGAGTGGAGCCGATCATGCCATTTCATTGATATACCAACACAATGAACATGCACCTTTTAAGTTGGTTGTGTGTAGTTTTTATGTACAGGTGAGACAAATTTGATTAAATTGTACAAGTTCATCAGGTGGGCAAACCAGTGACATGACATGCCCGGCTCGCCCAATATCTTCCATTGGGCCAAGCTGATGGAGTACTCGGTTCTAGTTGTTCAAGTCTATCCCATTCATTTCTTCAAGTCGGATCTAATCACATCTTACATTTTCTCATCTGCTTGTCCTAAACAGTGGAAGTGTATAAAATCACCCAACATCCCTGTTATTGTTTCAACCTCTCTCACACCAAATTCCTATAGAGTTTCATTGCATGCAGTCCCAGTAGAAAATGAATTGAGAAGTGGACTCATACAGTCAAGGTCGGTCGATTGCAGCAAAGGCTGAAGAGATGATGGAATATAACAGATGGTGGTGTAATCACCAAGCAGCTTCATGCCATGACGCTCTTTCACATTAGCTGCCAAAACAATCTTGACAACAATTAAATCCAATGCCATATCAAAAGACAATCAAAAAACAGCAGTCTTTCATAAGCTACACACAAATGCCCACTGAAAAAAAAAAAAAACAAAAAAACCACCCAAGCATTGTCAAGCCACCACAGGCTAGCTGCAATTACTTGTGTACAAGGCATAGCATCACATAAGACACTTGTCTAGGTATTGCTAAGACCTCATAATCACCGCATTCCATTCTTTTCAATTCTCTACAACAAAATATTCTCTTCCACCTACCCTTTTGCTCCGGACTATTTATGAAAGAGTAATTTTAAACAAGTGCTATTTATAACACTTGCCCAGATTTCCAGTTCTAATTTCATTAAAGTTCCAATTATGATCACCGCACCAGTGGACATCGCCACTACCACGACACTACTTTATTCAACTAAAAGCAATGCCACCGCTGCTATCGCCACCTACAACTGACATCTGAGGTAACCTTTAAAAGATGTGTGCGAGCGCACACACACTGCACCATTTTGAAATGTGAAGATAAATATATGAAACAAAGTGTGACACAGTAGAACGGATTGTCTAACATACATTAAAACATTATGTCCTCCAATTTTTGACGAGTTTCAGCAGGGGGAAGATATTCGAGCTTGCAGGTAATCAATGAGTAGCTGGTAATAATTTTGAATGCCATCACCATTTTGCAATTCCTGGAAACTCTTACCATAAAGATATCCGGGCAGCTTAGAGAAGAAAATTTCAACAGCATGCCAGCAGAAAAGGACTAAATTGAACTTGGTCAAACATTATTACTGCTTCAGATGGTGCTCAAACAAAGATGCCATCTCAATCTGCAAGAAGAGCCAAAATAACCATGGAAACTGAATAGCCCATTCAAGCAAAAAGTTAGTTTTTCTATAATTTTTAGCAAATATGGGTATAAAGACATTTAATATGTCAGGAGGTTCTCCACTTTGACATAAATAATCTGTCTTTTGTCCATAAAAAGAAAAGAAAAAAAAAAACAGAGTCTAGAAAATCAGGTTTACAATGAGTATATGGATCTGTGGAGCATTCAATATGAGCACTTCATTCATTTTGAAGCATTATGTGACAAAAGGAATATGGCAAACAAGTCGTGCACAAATACATAAATTAAAATATTTGATGTATGTGTCAAGTTCATGTCCAACCAGACATCTTGGATGTTGTATTGTGCATCCCACATGAGTACTTCAAACATTTCAAAATCCTTAGCATGGGTTTTATATGTCTTCTTATATTTTAAGAGTAAGGCAATGCTAACCAAATTTGGTAGACATGAACGGTAATAGGGGTCCATGGTTCTTACCTATAGTCAATTTATTCCACTAGATCATTATATGCACTCCTTACTATATCAAGAATGCTACCAGTGGTTTAAGTAACAAAAGTTCCTATTCTGCAAACCAAGTCTTAGTAGCAGTACAAATATACAATGGCCTACCACCATTTATGTAATCTTTCTATTCAATGAAGAGCCAAGTCTTGAGATAAATATATTTAGAGTCAGCCCACTTACCAAATACACACCACACACACACACACACACAGAGAAAGAGAGAGAGAGAACTTACAGCTGTCAGAGCTGTTTCAGCACCCTTATTCCCAGATTTACCACCAGCTCGATTCAAAGCCTGGAATTTATTATGAAGAAAACATCGAAAAATCATATGCCATCTAATATGAAAATAACTATGCAGTGTTTTTTTATGAGGCATTCCTTTACTGCAGAAAAGAAGAATATTATGATATCTTAAGAATAAAAGATTGTAAAATAATTAATAATTTTAACAAACTCGCCAAAGTTTAAGTTGAATAATATAACACAAATAAGCAATCAACAAGTTAAAATAAAGGTTATATCATCAATTTACCTGCTCCATGTTATCGCATGTCAAAACACCAAATATGCAAGGAACTCCTACAATATCATTAAGGAAAAAAAAGTTCAATTTGGATCAACAAACCAATTATGAAGTTAATAACAGTACAACAATCTGTAGAAAAGAAAATTATTGGCAACAATGCCATTAGTAATCAACGAGTTGCAAGTGTAATATTGAACAACAACGTTGATTTTATTTATAGACATCATGGTTTTGCCTAAATACAGAATTGACGTGAGCATCTAACTAGTGAGGTACTTCTGCCAAAGAACCTAATCAATGTGTCTCCAGCCAAGAAATCACACTCACGAAGAGCTAACAAGTATGCCAAATTTTTTCAATTGGATAATACTGTGTTGTTGTTGTAGTTGTGTGTGTGTGTGTGTGTGTGTGTGTGTTTTTTTTTTTTTTTGCATATGCAAGATGGTATGATAATCATACTCCAGACATTTGGATGTTAGCACGACAACCATATTTCGGTTATAGATGAATGCACACACATGCAACCAGTTTCCCTTCCCCCGTTCACATACTCAGCACACGTGCACATTCACATGCACTTGCATAAAAACACAAATATGCACTCACATGTAGATGCACACACCACAAGGACACGCTTGCATGAATGTTCATCTCCATGCATATATGAATGAATGGTGATATAGAAAAGTATAGTTTGCCCTCACGACCATATGAACAGCCCCTAAACGGCAGTGTTCAAAATAATTCTAGGTTCTTTTAATTTATTATTTTTGAGGCAGTTCATGAGAGTTAGTCATAGCAGAAATTTATTAGAACAGCATTTTCCATGTGTGGGTACCTCTTAAGCCTAAATGCATAAGAATAATGGATTTCCTTTTTCTTAATATTTTCAAGGGAAAAACAAGTGTAAAGTTCTATTCAGGATGCGGATCAAAGTTCCAGTCCTAGTCATGGATTGACCTGAAGTTAAGTAAATCAACAGTTGGCTACAGATATGACAGTTATAAGGCAGATAAAAAAGCTGAGGAAATCCTAAACGAAGACTAAATTGGCAGCCAGAAGGGAGCCAGTGATAGAATATACCGAATCCTTCAAATTGAGGCAACTGAACATCAGAAGTGAAAAAAATTATGTATGGAGACCATAATCCTTAAAGTAAAATATTTATTGTAGTTGCACCTGAAAAGACATGCACATACAGAGTTAAAGTAAAGTCTGGAAAGAGAACCTATCTGTTGCAGGAAAATGTAAAAAAGTTTCCTACTACCCCCAATAGGCACTGATAACATGTTGACAAAAACCTCAAAATAGTGTTGCCTTCAACCAAATTGAATTATTCAATGTTCTTCTAGGAGGCATCCCAGGGGATCTCAAGTAGTTCTACGTATCAAAAGAAGGTGTGAGCCTCCTTGACCAGGTTGAGTATATATGCCCCTCCCTGCTTTACATTGGAGGATAATGGCCAAAAATAGAAGATTGGGTCAAGCTTAAAGGAAACTAATGTAGCCCCATTTTTATGATTGACGACACAAACTGTTATTTTATTAGAAAGAATCTATTAGGGAATGTTCCCACCTTAAAATTCCAACAGCTAGGAAGAATAAATTAAAAACTAAATTCTCCCCCGTCATTGGAAAAAATTGAAAGGGCAGTGGTTTCAGTGGCTAGCACTCAACAGTGAGTATAAAGGGAATGGGTTTTTTCTTTTCTTTTTCTTTTTCATTTGTTATGGGGAATAGAAGAGCGTAAGGTAGGCAGGGAGAAGTGGCAAGGATTGGAGCTGCACATAAGGTTCACTTTATTTTTCTGTTTAAAATTAGCAATATGGATGGCCATATCCGGAGCATAAAAAGGAAGTTATATACAGCTGGTTAATTTAATGGTCAACAATGTTGTCTTGACTATGTCACACTAGATTGAACTTTTACAAATTTTAGATGTAAGAACAAATTGTTATTAGTAATTGACAGGGATCCATTCAATTTTTTTTTTTTTTTCTATTCTTGTTTATGTCATGAACAAGGAAGCATTGGTTTCTTACTCCACTTCAGCATAGTGAAATATGTTTTTCCATATGACAATCTGGAATGGAATCAAATGATTTATTGGCCAGCCAAAATAATTAAGACATTGTAAATTGATCTAGTTGTATGTATACACAACTGATGACAGTCAGAATAAATACGCGAGTAGAAACACTCCAGCACAATGGTGTGTGGTATTTACCCTATATGCATGCTTTACATCATTAAGTAGTGACGGATTTCATTTAGAATTTAAATAGACTTCCATTCTCAGAAACCCAGAAGAATAACAAAAAGGTTATCCTGGTGAATCAAAAATCATAACAGAAATATGGAAAATATTTATATAGTAAAAACAGCTGTGATATGTACACGTTTCAGTCACTTAATAGGTTTGACCCAATATTCATGCAATCTAATTGAAAAGCTAAATGAATAAATAGCAACTGGAATTACTCAAACACTAATCCAATGCCGAACTATGCATGCCAGAAGATGCAATCATTAATTTTTCTGAGTTATTTCCATTATCATCAAAAAGGATGAAATCAGATCAGAAGAAACACAAATAGATAATGCATAAACAAACCTGAATTTAGACCCGCTGAGAGTACTCCAGATGCCGCCGAATTAGCAACAGCATCATAGTGAGAAGTATCACCTCTAATCTACTGACAAAAAAGAATCATTAATTAATTAGGGCACCAAAAGCAAGCAGCATATACTGACCACCACAACAGGAGAATAGAAAAGGTTAAAGCCTCTTTCAGAATAAAATACATAAGTCAACAAGCCTTTGCCAGTAGCCAGGTTAGACATTTGACACTCGAACTGCCAAGCCATGGATGTTTATATGAATTGTGTTTTCTTTCTTTTCTTTTCTTTTTTCTTTTTTAAGTAAGATGAATAAAGTAATAGACATGAGAGTATTCTACGTGCAGGAAGGGAGCATTCTATGATGATTCAAAACAAGAATACAAGGCCTCTTGAATTTCAAGGCAAATAAATAGATGGTCACGAATCAAGAAGAAATTTGAGATGATGTTAATCATAAAATCAAGACATGACGAATTAAATGGAAGAGTGTGTCTAATATATATTGTATAATATGTGTATCCCTCTAGGATTAAAATGCATAGAGATTCTATGCAACAGAGGTCAATTCATGTGATTTAATCTGATATTCTTGACGGCCAATCAGATCCATTCCACATGTAAATCCAATGAGTAATGTAAGTGATTCCATGTGAGTAAGGCAATCATCGTGTAAGAAAAGAAAAAATGCGTAAAACTGCATGTTAAGCAACAAAAGTAAATGGGGCAAGAAAAAATGAGTATGAGCAGAGAAAATTTTGCAGCACTGCCAAATTATGGTACTGCAGAATGAAATCATACCACAGCTCCGATACACAAAATCGCATTATATTTTCGTGACTTCCCAAGCTTTTCCGCAACCACACCAATTTCAAAACTCCCAGGAACCCAAACAACCTGATGGATAAAGAGAATAATCATTCCATGTTAAAAAGTATTCATACAAAATAATGAAGGATCGGTGTTACATGGATACACCCATCCTCCTTGATGTACCTGCGTCAACGAGATAGAAACTAAGTATCTGTATGGGACATGTGTCTTATACAAATATCTAAATTGGACACCCAAATCCTCTACATGAGATGATAGAAGAAGAAAAAAACTCAAATTTAACAACAAAGAAGGGCTTCCTACTTCTGATATAGATGGAATCCCCTTTGTGACCACATCTCGGTTAACTTAAATGATAATTAAGTATATCCTAAATAACAATAACAACATGCATTATACAATTATATAACATGTGTATTTAAATGCGGATGAAGTGTCCGCGTGCATGTTTCCAAGTTTTAGACACATATCAAGCAAAACTAGAGAAGGATGCAAAAACACACATCCACACCCAATACCTGTTTCTGAGTTTATGTTGTTAGTGGATTTAAATATTAAAGTTACAACCAACGTATTAGGGCAGACAAGTTCCTAAGTTCGAACATCACTGTCATCCTAATAATTAAAATTAAACCATGTGTTGGACCAAAAGAAGGCCACACATGAAGGGGTGTGTTAGAAGATTTAAATATTAAAGTTACACCCTCTCTAACAACTTAACCTTTTAGAATAGATGGTGGTTAACATGTAGCATAGGGAAGGAAAAAAAACACCATATAATTAGTGTTATGTTTATTATCTACATTATTACCAAATTGATTGCAACCAACACTAAGATATTCTAACTTGCAATGCTTGGATTTGCCATTTACTTCTTCTAGGTGATATTTAACTAAAATGTTGAGGTTTCTTTGACCAATTATATAAAAATTGGAGTTATGAACTATCTATAGTTTATTCTTTGACTATAAGACGCATGGACAAGCATGACCAGCCCCCGTGAAAGAAAATGTAGTTCGGATAATTTTAGTGATCACATTTAAAAATAATAATTAAAATTTGAGCAAGCCAAATTATATAAATTAACAGGTAAGATACCTGAGACGCATGGGGGAGATACTTGATTTTTTGGACTCGTTGAGAGTTTAGGGGCCTTTTTGGCCTTGCATAGTTTTTGGGGGATGCGATCCCTGTTTGATGGCTTTCTTTTTTCTAATACAGTCTTACTTGTCAAAATAATAATAATAAATTGAGTATGATTCAAATTACATAAATTAACAGGTGAAATATCCAATGGCCTAGATCTCTGGAAATCACGACAAAAATCAAAGCTTTACACACGCAAAAGGTAAGATGCCAGTCCATTTTGTACTCAAATAAACAAATATCCTAAAGAACAAAAACTATATGAAATGTTTACAAGAAATTCTTCATTCATAGACGTTACAATAATCATTTTAATAAGATATCTCTCATGGTTATGTTGGCCGTCAATACAATTAATCGACCAAAATCTCTCTCTTCGACAAAAATGGCTGGAACCATTGAGATGGAAACTCTCTCCTTAAAAACTATAGTTACACAATAAAGATCATATTGTGTTAAAATACATTATGCATATATCTCTGTCTTCTGAAAAGATAAACCTCAGTATGGGAAGTTAAAGGATTTAAATATGAACTTTAAGAGAAGTCCAAAATACACATACGATACAAAAGTGAACTAATTTAAGAAGGCCAAACTGGCAGTACAATATAGAACATGGAATAAAATTGCAGGCATCACCAGATTATGAAGTACAGGCTAGTGCACTAAAGCAACTAGATGAGTAAAGACACATTTAGAGAAGAACAACGAGAAGGGAAAAAATAAATTCAACAGATCAAAAGGAAAAGACAATGTGGAAGGGCAGAAGGAGTAGACAATGTCAACACCCAGTTTCAGTCGTACTTAAGTCGGTTGCTGAGAGGGCTGGAATGGATAATAACCTTTTTTTTTTATATTATTTTGCACAAAATGGCTGCTGTTGGACTCAAAAAAACACGTTCTCACTTTTGGCAATCCAAACTGGGTGAGAACAAGAATGAGGATTTTATTATTATTATTATTATTTAGAAGAATGCATGCATTTGCCTGGTGTAAGAGTTGTAGTTCCCAAACCACTCTAAAATTCAAAAAATCCCAAGCTTTGCAAACAGAATGCTAAAATAATTGGATTAGGTGTCCCAGCCATGGAAATCATGAACGTCAATTATGAAGGTAATCAGAAATTTTGAGCAATCCATCATTGCAGCTCTCCAAATTAGAGTTTTATGTCATTTTTGTATGAAATAGAAAAGTGGGTTCATCACACGAACATCTCCCATCAATTGATGTGGTGCTCTTTGAAAAGCAATACATGTATAAACTCCATATGTACAAATCAAATGACAATGGAATGCAGACACAAAGGGAACCAATTTATAGGTGCTAACACTTTAGAAAATGACTATGGCTACATACATCTATATCTTCTTCTTTAACTGAATATTTCTTGAAAGTTTCCACGGCTCCCTCCAACAGCAGCTTTGTCACAATCTCATTAAACCGTGCCACAACCTTTATCATGGAAGGCAGTCCATGTCCAACAAATTGCATGTTGAAAAATTATCAAAGAAGTGTTAGATACTAAATGAAATGTGATTCTAGGGTAAAAAATTTGCAACCATTAAAACAAGTATACAGAGTCACAAACACCATTAATAGTTAGGCTGTAAAATTCTCAAAAGCAAACGAATACAGACAAGAAGTAACAATGAAATAATGAAGACTGAAGATACAAAATTTTCTTTCAAGCCAAAATCATTAACAGCAAGGAAATAAAACTATCTTCTTTTTCCTTTTTCTTTTTTTTTTTTTCTTTTTTTCACGCACACCCAACTCATAAACACACCCAGTATATCACAATGGGAAATTAGACCCCAACCTCCCACTAGCACCTATTCACCCATCAGAATATACCATATTTAATGATAAATTGTGGAAATTACACCAATGTAGCAATAAAAGGCATACAAATATATATATACACACACATGAATGTATGTGTATATATATAGATGATAGGCCCAAACCCAACAAAAAAAAAAACCAAAGGATGATTTGCAATCCCAAAAGCATTAATCCAACAATTAAAGAGAAAATGAAGAAAAATACTGACAATAGCGAATCGAAGACCCTCAGTTGCAGTAACAGATCCCGTCACATGTCGAACAGCAGCTGTCTGTGCAAATGCCAATGACAAGGAACGATCCTTCCTTGCCACCTCCACATGAGACCCAAACCGCATTTCTGGTCAAAAACACAATTCAATTATACAACAATACACATCCATACATATATATTAAAAGAATAAGAAGAGAGAAATCGCATCAACAAGAAGGTGGGAAAACATACCCTGATTTGGTGAGGAAGAGGAGACGAGTGCTGGTGTGACTTTCCGGAGAAACCCATGAGAAAGGGTTGAAGAGAATTTGATGTGGGGGTTGGAATTGCGGCGGTGGGCGAGAAAACAGTTGGAATCGGTGGTGGTGGTGATGGTGATGCCAAATGAAGCAGCCATGTTAGCACCCACTTCGAACGAATAGGTTGGTGGCGAATTTGATTTATGGTACTGACTCTTAAAAGAGTTGACAAATCAAAGTCCGTATTACAAAACTGGGAGTCTGGAACTAAACCACCCAAAGCAGACAGTAGGATCCGAATGGAATGGTCATGGACCTGGGTCGTGGTCGGGTATACAGCACTTTCCATCGGCCAAGCTTAGGCTCCGTTTGGTTAGATGAAAATAGCAAGAAAGAAAAAGAAATAGAAAATGAAATAAAAAGTGAAGCGAATTAAAAAAAAAAAAAGTGATTTTCTAATATGTAGTTGGTTAGGATGAAAATTTCTTCAAGAAAATTGTAGAAAAATATCATATTATAGTTTGGATACCTAAATTAACCTTATTTTATAAAATAATAAAGAATTAGTAATAAAATATATTAAAAAAATGATAAAATTTTCAATTAATTTAGACCTTTTGAATAACTATTATTCATATATGACAAAAAACAATTAAGAATGGAAGTCGAGTTAATTAAAATTTTATCAATGATAAAGTATTTAGTGGACTCCAATTTTTTGAAACCTAGTAAAAATTTGTTGTTATTTCCAAATATAAAATGAAGTTGTTGGGTAAAATAATATTATTGAAGTTGTTGGGTAAAATAGGAATACTAAATAAAAAGACATGCTTTCATAGGAAAATAAAATTTCCCCGTATTTTGTGAAGGAAACATTTTGGAGAAAAATAAAGGGTTTCAAGAATCATAATTTTCTATAACTTTTCCTTTTCTATTTAACTAAACTATAAAAAAGTTTTAAAATTTTCTATTTCCTTTATTTTCCCGTTGATTTTATCTAACCAAACGAAGCCTAATAGGAATTAGTAAATCGGTACAAACCAAAACCGAATTTCATCTAAATTTGTACCGGCCATGCACAAGAAAGACTAGTAGGAATTAATAAATCAGTACAAACCAAACCGAATTTCATCTCAATCTTTTCATTTCCAAGAATATTCCAACCGTACTTTTGGTTCAATTTGTGTTGATCCGATATTTCCACAATTATAATTCCGATTTTAATTTTTTAGAAACTTCTCAAATTCATTTGGTTCTAATTTGTAAGGAGATGAGGATATTATTATCTTAAATTTTTTTTTTAATCATGACTAAAAGTTATGTTACATTTGAGTACCAAATTGAAACATTAATATGAAAAAAAATTGACACATAAAATTTGAAATTGAATCAAATTTAATTTAATTTTGTAACTACAATTAATGTTAACACTTGTTGGCAGATATTGAAACAGTTCTAATGACCAAAATATTTTTTCAAGTGCATTGTAGTTTTCAATCTAGTGGAGATGGTATGAAATATCGGATCAATTTGTGTTGATCCGATATTTCAACAATTATAATTCCGATTTTAATTTTTTAGAAACTTCTCAAATCTATTTGGTTCTAATTTGTAAGGAGATAGAGGATATTATTATTTTTAATTTTTTTTTTTAATCATGACTAAAAGTTATGTTACATTTGAGTACCAAATTGAAACATTAATATGAAAAAAAATTGACATATTATATTTGAAATTGAATCAAATTTAATTTAATTTTGTAAATACAATTAGTGTTAACACTTGTTGGCAGATATTGAAACCTTTCTAATGACCAAAATCTTTTTCCAGTGCACTGCAGTTTTCAATTTAGTGGAGATGGTATGAAATATCGGATCAATTTGTGTTGATCTGATATTTCAACAATTATAATTCCGATTTTAATTTTTTAGAAACTTCTCAAATCTATTTGGTTCTAATTTGTAAGGAGATAGAGGATATTATTATTATTTTAATCATGACTAAAAGTTATGTTACATTTGAGTACCAAATTGAAACATTAATGTGAAAAAAAATTGACATATTAAATTGAAATTGAATCAAATTTAATTTAATTTTGTAACTACAATTAGTGTTAACACTTGTTGGCAGATATTGAAACAGTTCTAATGACCAAAATCTTTTTCCAGTGCACTACAGTTTTCAATTTAGTGGAGATGGTATGAAATATCGGATCAATTTGTGTTGATCCGATATTTCAACAATTATAATTCCGATTTTAATTTTTTAGAAACTTCTTAAATCTATTTGGTTCTAATTTGTTAGGGATAGAGGATATTATTATTATTTTTTATTTTTTAATCATGACTAAAAGTTATGTTACATTTGAGTACCAAATTGAAACATTAATATGAAAAAAAATTGACAAATTGAATTTGAAATTGAATCAAATTTAATTTTATTTTGTAATTACAATTAGTGTTAACACTTGTTGGCAGATATTGAAACAGTTCTAATGACCAAAATTTTTTTCTAGTGCACTGTAATTTTCAATTTAGTGGAGATGGTATGAATAACTCTACCAGTCAATTTGGGGCCTTCGTGACTTGGTCTCATTGTATTTCTTGCTTGAATTTTTTTTTTTTTTTAAAATAAAAAAATAAAATAAATAATACTTGCATCCTTATTATTGGGAGAAACTTGGATTTTGATCCTCTTCACCTCTTTCTAGCATTTAGTCCTTAATATATATATAGACTAGTAAAAATTACTTGCAATACTCGTGATGAATTAATCATTAAAGAATATAAATAATAATAACTATAATAATACAAACCTATATAATAATAATAATAATAATAATAATAATAATAATAATAATAATAATAATAATAATGTTTATTTATGTGATTAAAAATCATATAAAATGGGTAAAAAATAAATATCAAGTAATAAAAATAAAAATAATTATAATATATAGAAACACAATTATTAAAAAATTATGTACACAATAATGACTATAAAATAGAAAATACATGAATATAAAATTTTAAAAATAAAGACTTGTTTAATGAAACTCTTTGTTTATAAATAGAGTTTGTAAAATTTTAAAAATAATAATAAGAAAAATAAATTTTGTGCGCAAATACCAGCAATGGCTCAAAAGCATAAAATAGAACAAGTGCATAATAGATAAATCATTTTTTGGGGAAATTTTCATATTGTAAAGCTTATCATGAAGCATCTTGGAATAACCTTTTGTCATATGTACATTTATATTAAGAAATCATAGAATGATGATTAGTTGAAAATTCATGAAAATGAATTATGATTTGTAAGATAAAGTATTGGCTATTGAGTATTCTAATTTTCAAATATAAATGTTATGATTAGAATGCTAAATTGCTAATTAAACATGTGTTATAAGCATGCCAAACTCCAACAACTATATCATCCTAGTTTCAACAAAATATGATATTTTATAAAACAATTTACACATAAAGTTAAATAATATTTATTTTAAATAAAGTTAATTAATATTTATTTTCAAAAATCATGTCTTCTCCCCAACTGTGAATCATGTGTGTGTGTGTGTGCTTTTTTCTTTTTCTTTTTTTTTTTTTTTTTTTCATTTTTTTAAAAATCGAATTATTCAATCTCTCAGTAAATTTTGAAATTAAAATGACCGAAGTGGGAAAATGCAATAGGTGCTAGAATAATTGTTTGCAATTTTAGGCTATTCAACTTCTTCTTCTCCATTGGATGAAGAGCAAAGGAGAAACTGCAATGCAAAATCAATAAAAGAAGAAAGCATTCAAAATCAATAAAGAGTGTGTTATTATTTAAATAAATGTAAAAACACAAAATCTGACAATAATTCATATATAAGTGGTACAATAATCCATAGCCACTCACTTGGCTTGGTAAGTGAAATTACACCGTCATCACGGAGGGAAAAAAACGAAAAAAGAAAAAAGAAAAAGTAATAATAAAAACAACCAAGATATTCTTGAGCATAAGAACAATCATAATGGAAACTAGAAAAAAAACACTTAAATTCCCTTTTTATGTTAGTATAGCCCTTACCCTTTTCAGCAACAAAATAACATCTAGTATATTATACCATCAGATTTTTCAACACAAAATTACCTCTGTAAAACTGTCCCCTGTTTCATCATTCTTTTTTTTCCTATAAAAAATAAAGTGCTTCAAAGATTAACGTGAAATAAAAAATTCAACAAATAAACTTAAAGCTAAATAAGAGTAAAACTTATCCTCATAATATGATAAAAGAAATTTCAGAAAAAACCTAATCCCAAAACTGTTTCATCATTTTTTTTTCCTTTAAAAAATAAAGTGCTTCAAGCCTTCAAAGATTAATGTGTAATAAAAAATTCAAGAAATAAAATTAAAGCTAAATAAGAGTAAAACTTGCTCTCATAAATATGATAAAAGAAAATTTCAGAAAAAAAGTAATCCCAAACAAGGCTTACAATCTTTCCATTCTTAAAACATTCATCCTCTAGATTAGGCCCACTTGAATACTTTACTGTTTAAGAAAAAAAGTAGGATTTTCTCGATCAAATTTATTTATTTATTTTCTTTCTAGTATGAATTAAAAAAATTAAAAATTGGAAAAAGAAAACAAATCAAGCCTCCACCGAAAGAAAAGCCATCCCCTGTTGAAGTAGGAGCCAACCAATGCATTATCCTAATGTCCATCAAATTACTTCTTAAAATAATGTAAAATGAGAGAGAGAGAGAGATATTGATTGATAATGTGAAAAAGGTTACTTATAAAAATATACAGTGAAATGCAAACGATCCTCTGGATTAGGAGTTATAAATACCAACCATCAAACTAATTATGGTATATTTATATATTAATGAAAGTAATAAATTAAAGTATATATATCAAATGAAAAAATAATTTTTTTTTTTAAAATTCAACCATCAACTAATTATTGTATGTGTGTATATTAATGAAAGCAATAAATTAATATATATATATATATATATATATATATATATATTAAATAAAAAAATGTTAAGAATTTTTTTACAATTTTAGAATAGTATAGATATAGATGGATATATAAAATATTATTAAAAAAATACTCAGTAGTTGTCAAAAATAAATAAATAACTAAATAATATACCAAATTTATTAATACAATCTAATCATAATAGGTGTATCATGTTTATACCGAGGGAACGAAGAAAATTAGTAATAACAAAATGGGAATTTACAATTTAGTCCTTGTACAAAGGACGAAGTATTGTTCTTGTGTGCAAGTGTCGCACGACGGGCACCGGAAAGTATTTTGGTGGCGGCCATCCATATCAAGCAATACCAGTTTTAGAGAGAGAGGGAGGGGGAAGGCTTGAAATAACTGTGTTTATATATACTTAAAGTACATTGAGGGACGGATACATATATACACACGCATATAGAGAGAGAATGGAAGATCGGGAAGACTTGAAGTCGATACTACCGTACTTACCACTGGTTCTCCGATCGCCCTCTCTGTTCTGGCCATCTCAAGTGGTGGAATCATTGAAAGCGTTGTCCGAAGGCCCCCAACACAGCAGAATCGACTCTGGAGAGGTTCTCTTCCTCGCTATTTCCGATCTCAGACAATCTCTCAGCCTCAATTTCTCCACCGAACGCTTAGCTTCTTCAGCCGCCGATGGCTACGCTCTTTTCTTCGACGATGTATGTAAACACGATCACCATTACCAATCTTACTTTGTTATTGGATCAATAGAACAGTCAATCGATAAGGGTTTATTTTAGATTTTACACTCTGGCTGTTTGTTTCACTGTAAAATGTTTTAGATTGGAAAATGTTTTTCATGAAGGAAATCATTATTCTTCTTGTTTACCGGGGTTTGGTTGAGGTTTTTGAAAATAGTTGCCAATTGTTACAAAAATGCATAATGAACATTCATAACTTAGCTTCTTCAGCCGCATGCTTACGCTTAAACACAATCAATTGATTAGGGTTTAGATTATATTTTACACTTTGGCTCTGTTTGTTTCATAGGTAAAATGTAAATGTTTGTTTCATAGGTAAAATGTTTTACATTGTAAAATTTTCTTGATAAAGTCATTTTTCTTCTTGTTTACTGGTGTTTGGTTGAAGTTTTGAAAATGAGTTGCCAATTATAAAATGCATAATGAACATTTATATAAACATGCACTTATTTAGCGGTCAATTTTACAGATGGGTTGATAGATCGGGAAGTACTTTTGTATTTGATTATGCATTGAAGTTTGTACACATATATATCTATATATATAGATATATAAATCTATAAGTATGTGTGCGTATAGGTGTATATATAGGTACTATGCTTATTTATATAATTACTATGTATTATATATGGTTATACCCTTGTATCTATACATATACACATGGCTATTGTCTCGACATATGTTTTTTGAGTGTAATTTCGGAAAACGGTTTACTGAAATTTCTAAGCTATTTTTGTTTTCCTAGAGGATTTTTTAGTGTAATTTCGGAAAACGGTTTACAGAAATTTCTAAGCTATTTTTGTTTTCCTAGAAGATTGTGTAATTCATTTTCTTATTGACCAAACATCGAGAAATGTTTTCAATGATAAAAGCATTTTTCAAGAAATATTTTACGTCAAAATGGAACAAGAGTGAATATGTATCTCATTAATTGTTGAAACAATTATATATGTATCTCACGAATTGATTCCTTAGTAAGGCTCAGTTTTTGCCTGTATAACTTGGTCGTACAAATTTGAACAGCTGATGTCTCGGTCAGAATCGGCAAAATGGTTTGGGGAGGTAATCCCATCAATGGCGAATCTGCTGTTGCGGTTTCCGTTGTTGTTAGAAACTCATTATAAGAATGCAGATGTCATTAATGGTGAAAATGACAGAATTAAAACAGGTCTTCGGATATTGGAGTCACAACAACCAGGCATAGTGCTCCTCAGCCAGGTACCTTTCACGTTTAATTTAATATGTTGACTTCATTAATACTAAGAGTGTGATCCTCAACAAGTATATTGATGTTCTCGATTTTTCCTATACATGTATGATACATCACCCTTTATTCTTTACTAATAATTGTGAAGTAGAGAATTATATGACTGTGCTACCTTGTGTACTTAGATATCCAATTTTAATTCTGCGTCTATTTTGGGATTTGCCCTTGATAGTTGATCTTAGTACATTGTTGAACAGAAGATTTGAGCTATGCACATACATAGGACATTAGCATAATTATGCATTACTGTTATAGTTCATGTAATTATACTCAACCATGTCACAAGAAAATTGTGCAAGAATATCAAAATGTGGGATGTTTCTTTTCTTTCCGTTAATGAGAAAAGCTAGATAAGAGAGAACAATTGAATCTTATAAAACATGGTATCTTTATCCTTATTTACTTCATAGAGTAAGATGCGTTTTCACATTTTGTATTCTTTCTGAACCAATGGACCATTCGGTTGTGCTTCTTAAAAGTGATTTTAGATAAATCCATTTTCATTATGACTGCCATTGGAAACTTGTAGCATGGGGCACTTGAATCAGAGTGTCATGGTACCATTTTGCTCTATAGCTGCTGGACCATAGGAGATTTTTTAATTTATTTTTGATAAGTTGGACCATAGGAGATTTTAAAGTACATCTTGGCTCGATTTAAATATAATATAGTTTTGGTGAGATGAATTTTAAGTGCTGAAGTCTTAGGTTATATTTGTAGTTTAGTGATGAGTGAAGTCTTTCTAACTTAATTTTTTTGCATTCTTAACTTATTTTTATAAGTGATATGTAGCATTACCAATTCAGAATATTGGTAAACACCACCTTAGAAAGTATCATAGTACATTGGATTTGAAACATTCCATATTTTATGCATTATTCTTAGACGAAAGATTCATCCTTCATCTATGCATTGCTGTTGTCTTTTTAATGGTCTGATTGTTGACAATGAATGTCTATGTTGTTTTCAGGAATTGATTGGTGCTCTTCTTGCTTGTTCCTTCTTCTGTTTGTTTCCAATCACTGATAGAGTTGCCAAACACCTTCCAACGATCAACTTTGATCATTTGTTTGCGTATGTGTCCATTAGCCGTCTTTTTTTAACTTCTTTCAACTGTCATATTCAATGTATATCATTATAACAGAATGGTTTAATTTCTACAATTTTTTTCCTTTGCTTCCCTTTATAGACTAGTATAATGCTAAAGTATTGACTTTTGTAGAAGAGAGTAATTTAAGTATTTCATTATTGGCTTGTGACAATTTATTAAATTTAAAGAAGGGTTCTCAATAGAGAAGAACTTTTCATAATTGGCTAGCTTGAAGCCATTTCTATGAATGTTGGCAGAAAATTTAGAGGTAATGCAAAACATTATTCAATTTATCTCATGCTCTTTTGATAATATTGCTCCTGTTTGTATGAGTGTTTCACGCCAAAGTTTAAGGCAGTCCCCTGTATAGGCAGTTTGTCTCCGTAAGATAAGTTCAGATTACAACTCTAAGTAGCTTGTTTCTATGAATATTGAATTTACATTTGATCCGCGCGTCCCCACCCACCCACCCACCCACACTCACACAGAGGTTAACTATTTTATTTATATGATATTGAATTACAGATGTGTGTGTGTGTGTGTATTCTTTGAATATTGAATCACAGACACAGAGAGTTTCCAGTATTTTTTTTTCTTCTCTGTGACTTATAAAACAGGGGATTGCAACTTTTAGAAAAGTTGTCAAGTATACTATAGGGGAGGTCACAACTTTAAACTTCTGACTGTGGTTCCTGGAAACTAGAAGTAGGATCAGAATTGGATATTATAGGCAAGCAGCTGAAATAAAATGCCCTGCAGTTTATTGACAATATAGCGACTCTCTAAGACACTGTTCAAGTAGCTAAAAAAGGCATGTTTGCTTCATTGCTTTGTCATTCATCTGCTTTATTCGTTACTCTGCACTGAGGGCCTTAATTTTCATATCTGACTGGTTATGGTCAGAAGCTACCGCATGTTGCGAATATTGCTCGAAATGACAGTTGTATTGCCAGATGCTCTAAGATCTCTCTAAGAGCATTTTTTATTTTTATTTTTTGATAGTGACAATCAATTTAGAGAGGTGCAATGTCATTAACTTCCTAAATGACCAAATTTGGTCGTGTTGTCTACTCATTCCATACTTCTAGTTATTTCTCCTTTTTCCCGAATTACAAAAGTTGATGCAACTGATATATATTTGCTTCCAGGAGTCTACACAATGATTACAGTGAGAAGCAGGAAAACAAAATAAAGTGCATCATTCACTACTTTGAGAGGATATGTTCATTTATGCCTATGGGGGTTCTCTCATTTGAGCGGAAAGTTCTCCCTTTGGAATATAGTAGTTTTTTTGTTACCTATCCAAAGGATGATTTTTGGAGCAAGTCAATTGCTTCCCTCTGCCGTCTTGAGGTAAATATTGAATGAATAGAATAGTCCAGTAAAGTGAGTTCAAGTTCAGATTTGGATGAGATATTGTAAGGATGTGATTTAGTTTAAACTTTTGATAGTGGTATTTCCTTAGTTTCGGATAATTATATTTTCTTTCTTGATTTTTATAGGTTTGCGGGTCTGGCTTGATAGAAGATCAACCCAGTGAAGCTCTTGAAGTGGATTTTGCAAACAAGTATTTAGGGGGAGGTGCTCTTCATAGGGGCTGTGTACAGGTTCGATCCTCTAGAATCGACACAGTCAACATGTTCAATAGAGTTATTCATTGAGGACCAAGTTTCTTTTTATAGTTGTAAAAAGAAGCTTCATAGAAATTAAAAGAATGTAATTGAAAAGCTTTAAGCGCAATGATTATACACAGGATTGTTTTGTGGTCAAAAAGTTACTAACCAGTTATGATTCCTCCGACGTGGGTACTGGGAGGAAAAAAACTGGATACAGACTTATCTGTGGTATAATTTTGCCAAAGTGGATGCTCTTGGACCTAAAAGCAAGTCAGAATTATTACAAGGTTTATATTTAAAGTAGGCATTGATGCTTCCACACTCTAAAATATTGTATATTACTGACATCTGTTTGCATGCATGGGTTTTTCTCATCTTTGTACTTCTGCAACCTTTATTTGGGTCAAAGTAGAACACTGCAATGAAAGCTTTCTTAACCTTTTATTGTCCTAATTGTCTTGTGTAGGAAGAGATCCGTTTCATGATCAATCCCGAATTAATTGCTGGCATGCTTTTCATTCCTTCCATGGCAGACAACGAGGCTGTAGAAATTGTTGGTACGGAAAGGTTTTCAAATTATACAGGGTGAGTATGATCCATTGAATTATTCATTCAAAGAACTTGGGTATTGATATCATATTAATTGCTATAACTGCGTTATATATTTCTTGTACACTACAAATTTATCATTTTATCATGCCCAACATTCTCAGATATGCTGATGTATACTGTACACCAGTAGTGACAGTACCAACCTATTCATATATGTCGGAGCTTTGCATTTTGAAGTTGAACTACTATATATGTTATATATATGGACAGTTAAAAAATCATCATATAATAATCCAGAAATTGCAATAGAAAAGAAAAAAGGGAGGTTTGTGTGCACACCTATAAGAGTGATAAACGGCTCATCTCGCCCTGACCTCTTGAATTCTCAAAACTTCTTACCTTATCCCTTGCCCCCTATCGTCTACCCGTTCGCTTTGGTAAGACAGATAAGGTGCCTGGTGGAAGGCTTAATCCCTATCCCTATTTGACCCGCTTGTATGAGTGGGGATTCGTATTAGCCTTTGGGCTTGACACTTGGTATCATAAAACACCAAGAAGTGGTTTTTCACTTCTCGAAGATCCTAATAGCTGTTTCCTTTAAATAAGATATGGAAGTGTAAATGTTTAGTTTCTAAGTATGGTATTGAAAGAAATTCTTTATGCCAAATTCATTGGCACTTGTAGGCCTATTAGCCTTGTCGGATGCATTTACATGCTAATGGTCAAAAAATTATTGCCTTGAGGTTGTGAAGGGTCAAAGGTTTGATATCGGAATCTCAAAATATCTTTGTGGGAGGTTCCCAAATTTTGGATGCAGTTCTAGTTGCCAGTGAATGTGTGGACTCCAGAATAAAAAGTGGAAAGCCAGAGATTGTATGTAATGTAAGGTGGATATTGAGCAGGCATATGATTGTGTGAATTGAACTTTTCTCATTTACATTTTGGAGTGGATGCACTTTGGCAAGAAGTGGTGAAGGTGGATTTTTTTATGCATCTCTACCGCAAAGTTCCCGGCCTTGGTGAATGGGTCCCCTGTAGGCTTTTGTAGTAGCTCCAGAGGGCGATCCTTTGTCCTCATTTCTCTTTCTTATAGTTATGGAGGCGTTTGGCAGCATGATCAGGAGTGCAGAGGCTCTTGATTACATTAGGGGCTTTGGTGTGCAAAGGAACATAGCGGCACAATTGGAAGTATCTCATTTGCTATCTGCAGATGACAAATTGTGTTTTGTGATGCTGTTGAGGATCAGATGAGGTACTTGAGATGTTTGCTGGTGTGCTTCCAAGTAGTGCTTGAGTTGAAGTTTAATATTAGAAAGAGTGAAAATTGTGTTGGTTGGGGAGGCTGATAATATATCCAGGTTGGCTAGCATTTTAGTTTGTGGTGTGGGGGCATTTCTGGTGACATATTTGGGTTTACTTTTGGGAGATTTGACGAGGATGTCATCCATATGGGATCCTGTGGTTGCAAGGTTTGAGAAAAGGCTAGCAGGGTGGAAGAAGCATATCTGTCAAAGGGATGGCACCTCACTCTTATCAAGTGTACTCTCTCTGATCTCCCAACCTATTACCTCTCTTTGTTTCAAATTCTTGCTTCAATAGTGAAGAGGACAGAGAAGCTCAAAGGAATTCTTGTTGGTGGCATGGGTGGCGAATTTAAATACCACTTGGTGAATTTGGTGAAGGTTTATGGTCCCATTCAAAAGGGAGGTTTGGAATGAGGAAGTTCAACACTTTTAATCAAGCTTTGATAGGGTAGTGGCTTTGGAGATATGGGGTGGAGCTGACTGTGTGTGGCAGAGAATTATAGAAAGAAGTTGAGGAGGAAAGAGGCAGGTGGTGCTCCAAGGAAGTGATTTCTTCAGCGGGTGTGTGCTTATGAAGAAACATTTGCAAGGGCTTGGAATGAGTTCTCCAAACATGGCCAAATCAAGGTGAGAAGTGGAAGATTCATCCACTTTTGGGCGGATGCATGGTGTGGAGATGAACCTCTTGCATGTGTGTTTCCAATATTGTTCTGGATTGCGGCAAACAAGCAAAGCATGGTAGCCGATTGTTATTGCCTTGATATAGAAGGGTATCATGGGATGTGCAGTTCGGGACAGATTGGGAATTGGAAGACATCATAGCTTTCTTCAGTTTGCTTTATGAGCAAAATGTGAATAGGGAGGGTGTTGATGAGTGGAATTGGGTGGGATCATGGTAGGTTTATGGTGACATCTTATTATTAGATTTGTCAAGGTGACCAGAAGGCAACCTTCCTGTGAAAAGCAATTGGGAGGACTAGGGCCTCCCTCATAGGGGTCTTGGGACAGACAATGGCTTTGGGGAGGATTTTGACGCTTGACAATTTGAGTTAGAGGCAGTAGTTTGTGATTAACTGGTGTTGCATGTGCAAGAGGATGGAAGTATGGTGGGAAGTCAAGTTCGAGGTGCTTGGAGGCAGCCCCTCTTTGTATTTAGTGGGGTCTGGTGCGAATGGAATAAGTGATCCTTTGATGGTGTGGAAGCAATGATGTGGGTGCTTAAGTATTATATTTCAAGTTCTCTATTTTTTTGGGTTTCATGGAGGAATTGTAAATCTATAGACGACTTTTTAGATTATGTGGACAGTTTGAGGATGTAGAGATGAATTCTTTTGTGTAGTTGAGGATGTAGAGATGAATTCTTTTGTGTAGTTGTTCTTTGGTATGCTCCCCTTTGAGCATCTTTAATGAAATTTTACTTGTTAAAAAAAGAAAAGAGAGGTAGTTTCTGGTGACTTGTTACAAACGTTGTATAAGCAGTTTCTTTTTTCATGGAGATACTTCATCATGTTCCGGGTTTTAGACTCCAGGATTTAAATTTATTAAATAGCCGTATTTATACAATTCTCCCTGTAAATATATAGATCTTAATACACCTCAGTTATGCCTTCGAAAATGTGTATTTAATTTTGCGTGTAACTTAAAATAGATGTGGCATTTGGAGCTAGATTGCCTTGTGAGGTGTTTTTTTCCCTGCTCTGATTGTTACTTCTTACAACTGTATTAGATCTCTAATTTTGAAAATCTTTGTTAATAGTTCTCATGATATAGAATTCAAAAGTATATGTGATTATGCCCTTCTGAAAATTTAATATCATTATGCATATTTTTTGTGCCAATAATATTATATTTGGTACATGAAGCATATGGATTATGTCAATGGCATTTTACACCTCTATGATATACTCTTGGAAGCTCTTTGATAATAGATTGTATTAGCCTAACTCGGTAACTCTATTACTTTTTCAAAGCAGAGGTATTCATACAGCAGTCTCTCAGATGACTTTTGTTACAGTGGTTCCTCTCTCATTTGTCTGAGTGGTGCAGGTATGCTTCTTCATTCCGATTTGTTGGTGACTATGTGGACAAAAGAGATTTTGATCATATGGGAAGACGTAAAACTAGGATCACTGCAATAGATGCATTATGCAACCCAGGAAAGAGACAATATGGACTTAAATGCCTCCTCCGGTATGTAAAACTTTGGTTTCTGGCACTACGTACATTTGTATGTGTGCATTTGGGTGTGAATATGTAATATACCTGGAATGAATAGGAGAATAAATAATGGCCCCCATCTAAATGGAACATTTTTGGATGGAGTTGCTGCACTAGGTTAATGTTTCAGTGTTGGGACTGTCAATATAGAGGTTATGAGCCTTTGATATGGAAGAAATTATGCCCCAAACTTGAGTTGATTGGATTCACATATCTAACCAACCTAAACTTTTGTCGAGTAATTTATTTTCAGTTTCAACACTTCAAATTTTTTTGACTTATGGTATATAGATTATCTGTGCAACCCTTTAAAATTGTCGAGTCCTAGTTACTGTTGATCTGTAAACTAGTGAGACTCCAACTTGTTGGTTTCATCAGGGAGATTAACAAGGCGTTCTGCGGCTTTTTTGATCCATGTAAATATCAGCATTATCATAGACTACTTCAAGATGATGGATTTTGTGGAGCTCAGGTAGATCAAGATGTTAAAGACCCGAGTGGAATGTCAGATAATCAACTTTTGGTAGGAGTTCTATAGAATTTTTTTATTTGATGTTGGCCCAGCCCCCCTCTTCCCCTTCCCCCCCCCCCCCCCCCCCCCCCCCCGGGACACCACCACCACCACCACTACCCACACCCACACACACACTTCTCTCTCTTTCTTCATTCGTTTTATTATAAGTGGAAGAATCATGCTTTGATGATTTTAACATTACAACTGTTAGTGCTGGTGTATTATTTATTTTCATTTTTTGTTTTCCCATAGTTCCAAGAAATTTCATCTATCTCTTGTGAAGCAAAAGAAGGAATTTTGGGTGACCACCTGATGAGGAATTTGGAGAAAAAGGGTAGTCAGTGCCTGGACCATCAAAAAGAAATTGGCATTGTGACAGGAAACTGGGGTTGTGGCGCTTTTGGGGGAGACCCCGAACTCAAGGCCACAATTCAGTGGCTCGCTGCTTCTCAGGTGATTTTCTACTGATTGATTCCTTGTTGGTTCAGTTTTGTGCCATGTGATACACTAGTTATTATAACCATACAATAGTGTATGACTGCATGACAAAAATGCCTCGTATATTTTTCTTATGATATTTTGTGTGCTTTTCTCCTTCATAAACTTTGAAAGAAATAAGAACCTCTCTATCTGCCATCATCTGTATATTCTTGTGTTTTTTAATTTTTTTTATTTGTCGGTAATTTCTAAACTATTACAGTTTAAATAGACCTTAATGCCAAGACATAGATTTAGAGAATGGAAATCTTTCATTAATACTGCTGATGATTCTGAGGTTGTCATAAGCTAACCAATCATAATTAAGGCTGCACTAAGTTCAGATAAGTGGTTATAGTTTAAGCTACAACCTAACTTTTCTAATGATGCTCCAAGGAGTTTGATTGAGATCTAGCTTCTCATTTTCTTTTGAAGTTGTTGGAATGGGTGAAGTGATTGACTAGTTGTTGGACAAGTCTGTGAATACCCTCGCCTACAAGCTCTGCCACCAGAATTGACATAGGGCCACATTAAAAGGGGATTTAGGGTTTGTAAAGGTGTAACAAAGGGTTAGGATTTTGGATTTTTAATTGACGCAAGAAAGGACAAAGCTTTGGGACCACAAATAGTAACTAGGGACTTGTTTGTATATGATTGAATGGTTGGAAGGAGGAAAGGTTAAAAATTGTGAGAGGGGATTTTTTGGGCTGAAATGTTAAACAGATCTAGTTGTGTGGCTTGTGAAGACTTGAAAAGTGCAAAAAGAAATTTAACACTTCGTTTGGATTGAAAGACATAAAAGTAAAAGAAAGGGAAGGAGGAGGGGAAGGACGACAATCAGGAAAAGATATCTTTGACACTGAGGGAGGTGAGAAGGAGCATTAGATGCTTTGAACACAAGTGATTTGCTACTTCAGCGTTATATGGCAATAAATGGTGCTTGGGCATCCTTTTTCATTCATTGATACTATTTTTTTATGAGATACATTCCTATCAGCACCTTTCCACATACATCAGTTTTCTTTTAAGTTTGTTGATGTTATACATCAGTCTGCTGAAAGAGACACATATTCAATGGACAGAACCATCTCAATGGTTCTATTTAATTTCAGAGAAAAAGGTTCTTGGCCATGTACCTCCTTTACTGCTATTGTTAGATCAAACTATTTGTATGTGAAAGGCCCCATTTTCGGAACATCAAGTTTCTCGAGGCATAATATAATGATTGGGAGAACATAGTTAATATCTTCTCAGTGATGTATAATTTCATAGATTCTATCTCAGCCTGTTATAGTAATGTTTCCTTTCAATATTTTGACTTTCTTTTAATTTGGGTACACTTCCAGGCATTGAGGCCTTTCATCACTTATTACACATTTGGTTTGGAGGCACTGCAGACTGTGGACCAGGTATTTTTCTTCTGCCTGCTACTCTAAGAAATCTCCAAAGAATATTATGCATCATTCCTGGAAATAAATGTTTGGAAGATAATTTGCAACCGTTGTTTACGTTTTAAATAACCAAATCAATGTTAATACTCCATGAGCTGTGTATTAATGTTCTGCTGGAGTATCAGTTGCTTTTGGATGTATAGCCAATAGTAAATGAAAAATGTGGTGTTCCCCCTCAGTGGAACATAATTTGAATTTTCTCATTAAATCTTTCAAGGTTAACTTCTCTAGAAATTGGAAACTTCAACCATTTATTTGCTCAACTTACTGCATACTTCTTTATAAAATAAAATCCCCCTCAAGAAAAGGAAAAAAATTTATACCAACTGTTTGTTTCCTACTCTTTCACATATTCTTCTTTTCCTTTTTTTGTGATATTTTTTTAGGTATTCAGTGTTTGCTACCGTTATTTACTTCGGAGGGGCTGCCAATTTCACTTAATTTTTTATATGCAATTATGAATATTGATGCTTGTTTTTAGTAGAAAAGTAGGAATACTTATAGGGTAATTTTCTCAAGTAGGCACTCTTGAGAGTTGAGACCACCAAATGTAAGTGGCGGGGCCTGCTCAACCATCAGGCCATTTGGGCAATAGCCTAGGGTCCCACATGGAAATTGCCTAATCCGATTCCATATTGATATTAATTCCGGTTTTCTTTATTACCTAATATTCTTCAATTCCTTGATATGGACCCATAAAAATTTTGAATTAAAAAAATACATTTAATATAAAATTTAATTGAATAGACTAGTTTCTTTTTATTTTCTTTCCCAGGCATTTCCTTATTATTGAGTACTTCTCACTTGTTGATACCTTTTGTTTTGTTATTTTTCTGGACATCTTCTCACTCACTGTTTGTATAATTGTTTTTGAAACGTTATTTATCTCATTCCTCAAATCATACGCTACTTTGAAGTTTTGGATTTGGAAGTCTTAATATTACAGAAGGCCAACAAAAGAATTTAGATCTAAGAATGGAAAATAATTGACCAATGACAATGCTATATGAAAAAAATTTAGATCTAAGAATGAAAAATAATTGACCAATGACAGTGCCATAACTTCATCCCTCGCAGCAACATTCTTTTTGAACAGAAAACTTTGACACAAGGTTTAAACCGTTTAGAAGTTCAACATTCGCTGCTTGCAACAAGTTTTCAATATTGAGATTCATTCCACTGAAAATTTGATCAGACCTTGGAAATTTTGCTCAAAATATAGTCGAGACCTTAAAAGTTTTAATATTCAGTTTTTGGGCTACTGTTCGGGTTCTGGTTAACTATCTAGCATGTGCTATACAGTTCTTGCTATGAGTTTGTGCATTTTTGGTTAATAATCGGATTGATCCCTGATTAGTATCTCATTTAAATCAGTCTACTAGCACATGACCTGTCTTGTGCATTTTCAAGTTCCTTGTTGATACTGCCCCTATCCTCAGGACTTTTAACATGGTTGTGTAATCTTTCATAAATTAATGTTGTTTTATCATCAGTAGCACTAACCCTGTTTATGGGTATTGCGGGCAGGTGAGTCGATGGATTCTGTCACATAAATGGACCGTTGGAGACCTTTGGAACATGTTGGTGGAGTACTCTTCCCAGAGATTGACAGGAGAAACTAATCTTGGCTTCTTTAATTGGCTACTTCCATCGCCGCCCACCTTTGATGCCATGATACTGGACACACCTTTAACCCCTTGAAATCTTTTGTATTATTGAGTTGCTTCCCTTCCCTTTTTTTTTTTTTCATGGACACACCTTTAACCCCTTGAAAACTTTTGTATTATTGAGTTGCTTCCGTTCCCTTTTTTTTTTTTTTTTTTAATTACTTCTTGCATGTAATTGTACATATCGAGTAAAAGAAAATGTAATACTTTGTTATAATTATAATTTAGTTTCGAAGATTTGTCTCGAATTCGAGTTTTTCTAATAGCTAAATTACAGGGATTTCAAAATGACTGAAACCATTTTGCAGTCTTGTACACTAATTTGGGATAATGTATTCTGCCAGAAAAGGCTTTATAAGTAGATGGACTGAAAACTTTCAAATATGTGATTATGAAGTCCATTTTGACTTCAAAAAGAACATGTCATGTAATGTTGATTGGGGCCAGAAAAGGAATTTTGTTTGGACTAATAATATATTGGGACTGATTATCTAATGTTTTTAACCATGAAAACACAAACCAAATCGTTACGAGGGTGGAGAAGTTCCAAGAGTGTATTCTTAAAAAGTTTTCCGGAAAGGGAAGGCGAGGAGGGAATCGAAAGAGAGTATTTTGTTCCCTCGTGGTGGGGAAAGGAAAAGGGAAAGGGAGTGGATTTTTTGGAGCTATTTTATATTATTACCAATGAAAGGTGTTAAAAAATATACGTAGATTGAATCTATACGTCAGAACCAATGAATTACTACAATGCTGGTTTGGTTTAAATGGTATCACTTGTTCTTTTAAATGGAGCGGTGAGGATTTTCCCAATGCAAAATTAGACAAGTGAAATTTCAATTAACAGATTAAAATTTTAAAATGGATAAAAGACATGTCATTTTTTTTTTTTTCACTATATTAGTTTGTGGTCTCTATCTTCTAAAATAGGAGGTGAGAGTTCGAGTTCCATAAAAATAAATTGGTATGCGAGTTTTTTAGTCCATGAAATACTTTTTTTAAAAAAATGTATTCTCAATTTCAAAGGAATAACTTCATGACAGCATATCTGGAAGGTTGAGAATTCAAATTTTCTCAGAGTTACTCCTATAAATTTTTTTAGTAATTGCGTAGAGCATGTAGAATGAGATGGCTGCAATTGGTGCAATGGAATTATGAAGTGTTATAAGAGGTCCGACATGAACATAGATAATAATAAAAAAATAAACCTTTAGTCTCTATGTATTGGTAATAATAAATAAATAAACCTTTAGTCTTGTGTATTATCTTGTGTATTATTCATATTTTCATGCAAATAATTATTTATTAATATTGTTATAATTATCACTAATTTACTATTACTATATATACAAATTCAATATACCTTATTATCCTGGACCTTTAAGTTCTTTTCTTTTTTTTTTTTTTCATTTATCTCAATTTTGATTCGGTGGGACCCACCCAACGTTGGTTTCATTTCTTTCCTTTAACGAACCAACATCAGTCTGCAGCGATAGTGGAGAGTGCAAAGGTGCAGAGATTGTAACCTATAGGGAGCCTATAGAATCAAATAGTATAGTCTAGAGAGAGAAAGCAGATTGTGTCTCTATAGAGAGAGGGAATCGTCTATATAGAGGAGAGAGAGGGAGCAGAGTCGAGCTGTTCCAACAAAAAAGGCAGCGGTGTTGAGAAAATAGCTAGAGAGAGGTAGAGAGAGACAGAGAGGAGAGCAGAGTGAAACTCAAAAGAAGAAATATGGCACTGATATTGAGGTTCAAGTTGGCTAAGATAGGTGCGAGAGGGATGAAAATAGTCGGTGGGGCTATGCAGTCAACCTTCAGGTGGTGTTTCTTTTCGTTTCCTATTTAGATGATAGAACTGCGATGCGATTTTCTTTTTGTGTTTTTTTTTTTTACTCATATTGTTGTAGTAGTTCTTTGAATGATTTTGAGTCCATACTCATCTGCATTTCTACTTTTTGTCACTTTTATTGTAATGAAACTCATCCAAACCGGCCGGACTCTACTTGGTGTTGAACTGTAGAGTCTATGTGGTATGACGATGATCGAGCGGTAGATATAGGTGTTGCATCTGTTCTTTGTGCCGCCTCTGATCTCTAGATCTGCACTCGCCATTCTATCTTTTTCCTTGAAATCGATCTCACAATATATATATATATATATACACACACACACACAAATATCTCTGTCTATGTGAAAACTGGTGAAGGTGAAGTTTAGGAAGGTCGGTGAAGCGATGGAGTCTTGTTACTGCCGTCATCTGGTTTGGTGTTACAGGCGCATATGAAAAAAAAGAAATCACAGACTATATATATAGTTGTATACATACGCATATTTGTATTTCTATATGTGAAAAATGGTGAAACAAAAGAAATCAGAGACTATATATATATGTATGTATGTATGTATGTATGTATAGTTATATACACACACATATCTGTATATCTATGTGAAAAATGGTGAAATGAAAGAAATCACAGACTATATATGTATGTTTGTATAGTTGTATACACATATTTTCTCTGTTGTTGGTTTTTTTTTTTTTTTGAAAGATAAAGTTAAATTTGGATTAAATAAAAGGGATACAAGGCTAGCCATAGCTAACCGATGGGCCAGGCCCAGAATACAAACCAAATAGGAAACAAAGCCCATATAGGCACAAAATAACCATAGCAATAACGGATCAATTGCTGAGGTCTGGTGATTTTCTTTGTGGTCGAATAATGGATTCTGGAACATCCCATTCTGCTGCAATCCTTGAAGCATTAGATGCATCGCTGATAGATGAGAGTATGATGTTTGATCTAATAGATTCCAGAGTTTGGTGAAGAAGTGAGTTTGCAGAGATGGATTTCTTTTGAAAAACCCTTCTGTTTCTCTCGTTCCATGTGTGCTGCAAAGTAGGGAGGCTTTGTTGGATTGCCACCCACAGTATGAAAGAGTGTTTGGGGATAGAGGGTTTGGTTCACACTAGGTGAGTCCAAGGTAGGGTTGGGTGATGCTTGTTGAAATGTTTCATGGTGTGTGGAATAGAAAATTGACCATTGGGTGAGGGTATCCAAATGTGTTTGTCACTGCAGCTGGTTTGTGGGTTTGGAAGGTTGGTTATATGCTGTAGTTGTGGAATGATGGATGGTATGGAAGGGGGAAAGGACCATGAGTTGTTGGTAATGAAGGATCCTACCTTTGTGTTGCTGTGATAGCCTGAAAGTGAGATCAGTTGTGGAGATGTCAATTGGTGCAGAGGACCAAGATGGCACCAATTGTCAAGCCAAAAATTAGAGCTTGAACCATCTCCAATTTTTACCCTGACAAGTGGTTTAATTGTATCTCTGAGGCTGAGCAATTTCCTCCAGTTCCATGAGCATTGGCCTGGGACCTTGACCTCCCAAATACTTAGATGGGTGTTGATCCATTTTACCCACAACATGTCCTTTGATTTGATTATATGCCAAAAGTGCTTCATTATAGCACTTTCATTCCATGTATGGAGATTTGGCAATCCTAGACCACCTGCTCTCTTTGGCAGCAACATTTATCCCAAGCAACATTTATCAGGGTTGTTGTTATTTAGAAAATGCATGTATTATCGCGTAACAAAAATAAAAATGGACTAGAACCTAGGAAGATGAAGTCTGTTAGGCTGAAAACAAGGATTTTTTAGTTGCAACACATAGTTACACCTCGAGGCCTTTATACCCTCATTTGCGACCAGCCACCAACAGTTTCATCTTTTATCAAACAAATTCAGACCTGCCCTCTAATCAGTGTATGTGATCAATATGTCTTTTAATCTTAATTGTCAAGATTATTATTTTTTCTCTCATTATGTTGTTTACTTGATCAGATTCGAGGCCAGGGAACTTGCAGGTACCACTCCCAAAATCTGCAAGACACCTGAGAAGGTAAATTCATTTTTTGTTAATCATATTTTTTGTTATTTATTTAGTCCATAGCATAACATTTATGTGGGTTCTGAATTTGTTTCCATACAAACTTTTATTTTGTGTGATTTGGAGTTTGTATTATATAATGGCTTTAGGAATTTTTATGAACATATTAGCCTGATATGCATCTATCTTTGCCTTGTTGTAAATATATTTGGTCATGGAATGTTTGTTTAAAAGTGTTTCTTTTGGGTATATAAACACTGCACCTCCTTTGTGTATTTAGAAGGCTCCAGCCTCTGTTGTTAGATCTTTTGAAAATTATTTTTTGGCCAATTTAGATGACCATAAGATCACGTCTGTTGTGTTATTTTTGCTTGATGTTACTTATGAAATTTTTGTTGCTTTATGGTAGTTTTGAGTTGGATTATTAGCAATGAATTTCCAGATTTTTCTGAGTGTGCAGGATATATATAGATATATATGTATGTTAAAGGGTGGGATGGTCGACTAAGGCTGATCATATTTTCACTCCATTCTCTTGGTCAGATTCTATTTTCAACTTAAATTGTATCTGGTTTCCTCATTTTCCCTCGAAACTTCATTAAATCACACCCTATAGTTTTGGGATATGACAATTTCCCTTTAGTCTGCATACTCTCGTGTTTTACGTATAATTTTATTTTTCTTCATTAAGATTCATTATTACACACACACATATGTTTACGTTATGTTATATATCTTGTGTATATACATTTGTAGACAGGAAAAGCTGTAAATCTATAAGCATACCGACTTGCTGATGCTCAGCTCTCAATAACCACACAGGACCTTTTTTCTATTGCTTCAGACCTTTTAAATTCTTTAATTTTGGTTTTTGCCATCAAATTTCAGCCACTAAAACCTTAAACCCATTCTCGAGTATGTTGTGATGGCAGAAAGAAAAAGTGAAAATAGGGGACTTGTATATTAAAATTTTATTAAATATGGGTGTAGGAATTTTTAAATAAGGCTACTTATTGAGTCAGTGGGCTGAGCAGATGTAGTGCCTTACAAAGCCACTATGAAGTAGAATTAAATATGGGTTTAGGAATTTTTAAATAAGGGTACTTATTGAGTCAGTCCTGATTATATATTTTCTGTTTGGAACTTCATATATATATTTTGTTTCATATACGTACATATATTAGTGGTTAA